CTTCAGGAAGTTCTAGAATTTAAAGTCTACTGTATCAGACTACTAATCTGTACTTTCCTACCCTCTTGCGGAATCCTTTTTGCAAGAGGTTTAGCAAGTACTTGGTACCTGCACTTTCAACATGTCCTTGTGATGTAATGAAGTACAGTGTTTTAACTTTATAGGTAACAGGCTACAACAGAGCTTTCAGGCACTTAATTCTACATAGAAAATGAGCTTCTAATAGCACAAAGTCTAGTTAGAGGTCAGTAACTAGCAGTGGACCTCAGCGGTTAAGACTGGGTCCAAACCTGCTCAACACATTCATTAATGATCTGGATGACAGGGCAAAGTGCACCCTCAGCAAGTTTGCTGATGATGCAAACCTGAGGGGAATGGCTGATGCTCCAAAGGATCGTGCTGCCATCCAGAGGGTCTCCAACAGGCTGGAGAAACAGGCACAAGAACTTAATGCAGTTCAACCACAAAACAAAGCAAAGCCCAGAACCTGGGCAGCACTAACCCCGTGCACCAGTATATGCTTGGTGCTCACCTTCTCAAAAACAGCTTTACAAAGCAGACCCTGGGGGTCCTGGTGAACACCAAGCTGAACATGGGCCAGCAATGTGCCCTTGTGGCAAAGGCAGCAAATGGTGTCCTGTGTTAGTAGTGTTGCCAGCAGGTGGGGGGAAGCATTCCTTCCCCTCTGCTCAGCTCTAGCTGGACCATACCTGGAATGCTGTGTCCAACTGTGGGCCTCCCATATAGACAGCATAAATGTAATACACATCACTAAACAACTATTTTAGTATTCCTCTGGTAATACAACTATCAGAGCATGCTTAGTTCCCCCTGAAATACAAACCAGTCAATATTCTGATGCAGGTCCAGCTCAAGATCCACAAACTGAAAATCTTTCATCTCAAAAATCAGATCACAAACATGACGCTTCATGCTGTTTACACATATAACCTTGATTGTAAAAAATAACAAGACAGATTATGAAAATGCTTGACAGTTAACCAAAGCTGAGAATAAACATTAGTTTCTTCTTGTGTAGAAAGTGCTCAGTTGATTACAGCAGTATTGCTTTTAGGTCTGACCTTAGTTTACCAGAGAGGAAAATGGGTATCTGTAGATGAGCCGTAGTACTTGGAACAGTAAAACTAGAATCCTATTTTATTATTATGAATTCATAAACTGAATTTGTAGGTTAGAGTAATATTCTTAAAATTGAATCAGACCTCCAAAAGTGGATTCTGTCATTCAAAAACAGGTACAAATACTCCAGAGATAGATGACGAAATATGAAACGCTGTTTGTAGTCAGCAAACAGCAAACACAGAAAAGTTTCCCAGAAATACAGAAACCTTAATCAGCTGTGCTCTCTGTTCTCTTTAGTCAGGAAAGAAAAAAAAAAACAACCCTATAATAACAATGGGGACCCTTTATGATATTCAGAATATGAGTTAAGTATTTTTATTTGTTTCAAAATTACAGATTATTTTCTCAACATATCTGTATGCATAGTTATACATTCATCTTAACTGTTTTGCATTGGTATAAATACAATTCAATCCATATTATCTTGTTATCACAATGCTATGATTAGACACACTAGAGCTAAGGAAAGCTGGTTATTGTAATTTTGTTAAATTTCACAAGCTGCAAGAACTCACCTCAGTTTTTACAAAATAAAGGGCACAAAATACCTTATCACCTATGACATGAACAATCACAAAATTCAGGTTCCAGCTTTTACTTTGGAATGGTCAGCACAATAAATATTTTTAGGGTATAAGGAATTACCTTCTAAAAATGTCAAAAAGCAGTATCTGAATATTAACTCCTTTCAGATAATCTCCATCTTTTCTTTCACACCATCAGCACATATTTAAAGATTAAATTCCTTACGCCTCCTCTTTCTAAGAGAGCTACAGCTACTGGGAATTTCTCTTGCCTGGTTTTAACAGGTAATGGTGTTAATTCATAGAGTATCACTGTCAGGAGGTGTAAGAGAAAATCATAGAATCGTAGAAAGGTTTGGGTTGGAAAGGACCTTAAGAGATCATGTAGTTCCAATCCCCCGCATGAAGGTTAACAGTCTGAAATAAATATGGTATTTCTGACACAATTTGCAAACATACAGTGTTTAACAGCTCACCATTTGTCAGGAAAACAACTGCCTTCACCTTTGCCTCCTATTCCCACTCCAATTCCAAACCCTCAAAGTTAGTGAAGCAGTAGGAAGCAAAAAAGAAAAGTAATTATTCACTATAAAATATAGGACTGATATACAATTAATTTCCAGATCACCAGAAAACATTCTACATTTACAGCTTCTGTCCCCACAAGAAATAATGTTTTCTACTTTCCCTCATTTTCAATTTAAGAAATGATAGCATCAACTCTTGAGTGACTTTAAAATAAACATACCTGTGGCTGAAATGGTGGAGCAGTTGGCCCTTGCATGCCTTGTGACTGTTCATCCATTCTGTCACGTAAAAGCGCCCCTTATGTCCTGGAAAGAGAAATATGGTCATTACACTGTAATTCAATCTGTGTTTATGATCAACGAACATAAGCAGAACTGAAGCATTAGTTTTCTCATTTGCATGCTTCAGTCCATGAACATTTAACTATTGAAGCCCTGCACTGTTTTGGGAAGAAAGTTTTCTTATGTTTACCTGTTGCATAAAATGAAACAAATCACTATACATATCTGATCTTCGTATTAAAAGATGAGCATTAAACTACTTGAGCCAGCCAAATAGTTCTGTCTGATGAAAGCTGCATCACCCCATTATTCTTTTATTCTATTATAAACCACTTGTTTAACTACACAAATGCCTCCTGGCCAGTACCTCTGACCTATAGGAAATAGCAGATCAGAACAACTATCACTGCTGCATGCATACTGTTTATGTTGCATTAATTTAACTGTAGATTTCAAGGAGTATGCAACAGCAGTTCCATCTAAACAGAAACAGTTCCTACTTTCTGACAAGCTAGCCAAGAGAGCTTTGAGATAACCATGTTAGGTACACAGTGTCTATTCCCAACTATGAAACTCTCATATCTCATCAGTAAGATGGGAGGAGACATGCCTGCCAAGTTCGCAATATAGAGACACAAAGCTTTGACTAATAATAATGGTTGCAAAACATGCCAAATCATTACTAGAAAGAACTGGAGACACTAAAATGCAAATAGTCACAAGGCTTTTTTCCTCAGCTAAGTGAATTCTTTCCCCAGCTACATGAGATGTTGTTGACGGGGAGCAGGTGCAGCACCCAGTTTTATTCGTGCCCATGAGGGCCATTTCTGTTCAGATGAAGACAACAGAAAGTTCACCATGCAAACAAATAAGAACTTTTCTAACCTTTTAAATACTTTTATTTGTATAAACACTATCAACAGCAAAGCAGCAAACCTTAGAAATTGTTTTCAAAGCCCATTTCAAAATACGAAACTAACAAATAGCTTGTGTTCCCTCTTGGCATTCTTTCAGCATCATTGTGATAACATGACTAATAGATAAAATAATCACAAAGCAGCTTTGCAAAGTTTCTCAATACACTGCCCTAGTGTACTAAGCAGTGGACTGGATAAAAAACAAATTATTAGCAACCTGCTTTCATTCCCCCATTTAAAGCTGCTGCTCCATGCCATTTCAGTACCAGTAACTATTCCTAACACCAGCTACAACGTCCTCCAGAGTGACTAAGGGTCCTCACAGCTTTGCCTTCCTACCCTTACGACGGCTGTATAAAGCACACAGTTTGGGACTTTCTGTTGTGTCCCGAGTATTAATCCAAAGATAAAAGAGATTAAAACAGATCCAAAAAAAAAAAAACAACTTCAGGCAGGTCAAGGGGAAGAAAAGCAAAAAAAAATCCAAAGAAAAAATAAACCACAAAACACAAAAACCAACCTAAACAAACAAACACAATTATCTCACTGAGGTGAGAGGCAGAGAAGAAGAGGTGGGAATTCCAAAGATTTCTGTCAGAACAAGCATGGTGACAAAGGGTGAAACAGCTGGCAGAAACATGCAGCACGCCACTGGCTAGGCAACCTGCTAGCCAACCCTAGGACACCAACACTGACACTTCTTCCAAGTTCTATAACATCTCCCATATAACCTCCCCACCAAGGGAAGAAATCATAACACATCAGCACTGGAATTAAACTGTTGTCACAAAACTGCACCTAAGTTCTCCAGTTATATTCACAAGGGTTTATGCAATTTCAACAAATTCTGGGGAAGGAACACATGGAAACCTTGTGGGATGTTATCACAGAACCACGAAATGGTCTGGGTTGGAATGGACCTTAGAGATCATCTAGTTCCACCCTCCCTGCCACGGGCAGAGACACCTACTAGACCAGGTTGCTCCAAGCCCCGTCCAACCTGGCCTTGAACACTGACAAGGATGGTGCAGCCACAGCTTCTCTGGGCACCCTGTGCCAAGGCCTCACCATCCTCACAGGGTAGAACTTCTGCCTAATATTTAATCTAAATCCACCTTCTTTCAGCTTAAAGCCATCCCCCCCCTTGTCCTATCACTATATCTTCTCCTAATTTCTTGCTATAGAAATCACTGACAATGTTTTCTGATCTACTATTTTGAAGAGATTTTATAAGAATTTTATTTTTGATAGCATCAATATTTCTACTGAAAATTTTAGTGTGTTTTAGTAATAGTCTTGACCACATAATGCACCAATAGATAATTCCATTGTCACAAACACTTGGTTCAAAATGCCCAGGCAAAAGAAGTAAATATAAAACTCTTCATCCTCCACTGCAGATGTTTATCCAAGATTAATGAAATGTTTAGTTGATGCATATTGATTCAGGAACCATACAACCCATTTATCTTGTCTGAATAGTCAGAAGCACTGACTGGAAGTATTTGAGAATATGGGGGGGGATGTTAAATCTGGGGAAAGATTAGAAAGGGAAGAAGTCCTATCATTACCACTGCCAGTGGCTCTGCCCTCTGTGGAGGTTCATTTGTTGCTGAATAGGTAACAGCTAGTATTTACCATAGGAAGCACGTTAGATTTATTAACTTGTGGATTTGTTGTTGCTTTTGCAGAGGAAAGGCAAAGATTGGTATTTTCTGCCCATATATGGAAGTTCTTTTATTTTTTAAACTTGATTTTGTCTTTGAAGACTACATGATAGATTCACACTTTAGAGTAATGTAGCATTTTGATCATACCAAAAGCCAAGGATGCAAAATGAATTGTTTGTACTGTTTGTCAACATAAGCAAGAATTGGATTTTGCTGCTTGAAGGCTGTTTTCACAGCAAGGCATGACTTTCACATTGATAATAAACTTCAGAGGTCAACACATCATGGCATAATATTTATATTTTAAAATTAAAATTGAGACAATTACTATTACTCTTCCAAAGATGGTTTTCAAGTTCTAACATATGGTGAAAAGACACTAAAAATACTGACAGAGTCATGACTTGTTTAAGCTTGAAAAGCAACTACAAAACACATCTAAATGTGACACGTCTACCACTTCTTCAAACAAGCAATTTGATGACCTCCTCCTGCAAATCAATCACCATGATATACACTGGTTTGTGGAAAACAGACATATCAGATGAAGTGAGAGGCAAGTCAGCTACACCATCCCACCCAAAACCTCCAAACTGCCAAACATATCTAATGTCTTTAAATACTCTCACACCGATCATGTAGGAGGAAAGGCCTCTGGCTTTACCACACCATGTGCAAAGATAGGAACAGTGAAAGACTCTCACTTATCTTGCAAAGATGATTTTCATCATTTTGGTGATGCAAATCATTTGGATTCAGACCACCCTGTACACAATAGCAATCACATTAGCACAAACATACACCCTCTAAATCTTATACTCCAGTTATGGTTGCTAACACTTCACAGGCACAGGAAGACTTCTGGTTAACTACTAGTATTTTAAATCTTTGGTTTTTTCAGTTGATTGAAACAATAGGTAGCACCTACATATAAAGGATGCAGGATGAAGTGCCTAGGGATACAGCCAACAGGACCAATTTCTCAATTGAAACTGAAATTGCACAGCAGCTCTTCTAACTGACACTATTTACTCCACAAACCAAGTCCACAAGATAGCAGAAGGGTGTCAAGTCCTCAGCAGTAAGTTAGACTATAAAACTGCAACTGCCTGAACTGCACTCATCTTTCCAGGTGGCTTCCACGAGCCTGCTAGAAGATGGTTGGGACTACCCACAAGTCCTCATGAAATCGGAAGACCTATTCCTCAACAGGAGCCAAAGCTCATCACTCTGGTGCCATTTCACTGGAATATATTTTAAAATAGCGGGTTTTTTTTTTTTTTAAGAAAAGAAAGATAACTGGGAAAAACTTGAAATCCTTGGGACACTTAAAGTCTTGCAACTAAGTCTTAATAAACATGATCAAATTATTTCAGGAGGAAAAGATTAAATGCACTATCAAATAACACGAAACATGATTTTTAAACACTAGTTTCCTAACTCAAAGTCCATAAACCATTCATACTGAAATGCATTTCATGGTATTCAGGGAATAACACTATTGTTTTAACAGACGGCAGTTCAGTAACAACCAAAAAAATACAAAGCCTTCCTGTAGAGAACATCATTAATAGTCTCAATGATATGTGGTTTCCATTAACTACATAATACACACTTGTTTGCTAATTTTGGACCTTAAGTGGGAGCATTCATTAATAGATGTCAAAGGAGGAACAGCTATTCTAAAAAGTATACAGTCAAAAGAATATTCAGTTCTGCTCAGTCTGAAATCCCAGTCTTCTTTTCTACAAAATACAGATGCAACTACTCTACGTAATATCTAACTCAGAGTATGCCATCACAATGTGCTGATGAGGCACACCATCACTTCAGCTGTTCTTCACAAACAAAAGAACGTACGATGTTTATCGCACCATTAGTTAAGGAAGGTATTTTTAATTTTTACTATAACTATTATTTTAGTTAGGTTACAGCCAAAGCTCTCCAGAGACAGCTATCCATTTAACACTCCACACACTCCTTACTTTTTTGGTGTCAGGTATCTTAACACATTCTTCGGTTATCTAACACTGATTTAAAATGACAAATTTTAAACCCATAAACTTTCAATTATCTTTACTAACTAAATTCAAAGATAAGGACCATCCTCAGCTGAGGAAAAAGCAAAACCACATATATTAATACTAATTTCCATATAAGCATACAGGCTAAAGGTATATTCCCATTTGCTTATATCACAGGTTGACTCTCAGCTACCCAAAAGCACAAATTAAACCTACGTAGAACAGTCAAACGATCACCCTGGTTGAAAATTTAAAAAAATAAAATAAAAAACCATAAAAAATAAAAAATAAAATAAAGCAGCTGTGCTCTGGAAGCAAGGGTTTAGATTTCTAAATGCCTTACTGAATACCCAAAACAATTACCCAACCCACCACACCACTGTTAATCCCAGCAGCTAATGCCAGGGAGCCCA